CACTTTTTTACACTTGAAACTTCTCTACAAAACACTGTGAAGGTAAAAAAAAATTCCGAACCTTCATAGTAAAAACACTATGAAGGTTACCTTCACAGTGTTTTTCTGTGAAGTTTCAAGTGTATAAAAATGGTCTCATGGGTCTCACGAAAACATGTTGGTCTCATGTGATCTCAAGTCTCACTCTCTCTCTCTATCTTTCTCTCTCTCTCTATATATATATATATATATCTATATATATACACATGTGTTTGGGTAAAAATTATCAAAGTCACGATTGATGTTAGAAACAAGACTAAAGATGCTTATTGTTAGGATCCAAGCGCTTAACACTACGCGAAAAAAAATTGCTGGTGGAGAAGGCGCAACTTATTTCTTTATAGCATAGCAGTCAGTGCCATGTTTCGATTTAGGAAGATACTGATCAATGACCCAACAATCCCCCCTCCCCCTGCATCTGCCAGCACTAACAAGATCTTGGTTAGAAGTCAATGGTTGCACAACATGCCTTTAGCATTATTATGCATATCATATAATTCGAACCCGTGACCTACTTTGATACCACATGTTATGATCCAAGTGTTTACCACTATATGTGAACCTGTGTGATTCACATATGAACTAAAATTAATTAACCCGTGTGATTCATATATAAACTAATTAATTGATTCACATGTGAAGTAATTAACTGATTCACATATGAACTCATAGGTTCATATGTGAATCAATTAAATAGATGTGAACTAATAAACGGGTTCATAATATGAACATATAGTCCATGTGTGAATCACACATGTTCATATATGAACCCGTTTGTCACCTATTTGTAAAAGTTACGAAACTAATTCTCTATCTTCTACATATGCATGTAAGGAATTATCCGGTGCTTCACAATCAAAGTCGCAAATGTTGACCAAATAAAGGGTGTGGTCACTTCTTTACTTCTAAAATATTTATCAATTCTCAAATGAACCCTTAGAGCATATTTATCGTCTCAATACCCTATCAACGATTCATTTTACAAAATCTTCAACTCTCCAATTGATGAGCATCTAATTGGCGATTGGTTTCATCAGTCTATTTGTGATTGGTTTAAATCCTTGGAGGTGATGCATATGACAACTCATTAAGTAGAAATGGCAACGGGCCGGGTTTGGACCGGTTATTGGTATCTCTATCCTCGAAACTGATAAGTAAAATCATCCTCGTAACCGCCTCGATCGGGAATCTTATCGGAAATCCCTGTTGGGTCCCTACAGTTTCTGCGATCCCCGTTGGGGAACCCGCTAATGGTAAAAAATCCCCCTTTTCCCATTGGTTTCCCCGTTCGCCGTTGGTTATACCTGAACATAAACCAATCTGAAATAAATTACAATATGTTATTTTTTTACAACTAATAGTAAATTATAATTTTTTAAAGATGTAAGTCTAAATGTCTTAAACACAATCAAACCAATTACAAAAAACATCTTAGGTTACAATATAAATTAAAGTAAATAGAAATTCAAACATCATACAACTAACATCACGATTTCACGATTAAACAAATAAACTATACTTTTTTGTGAGCCTTACTTGAGATGTTGAGCTAAAGTGGATAAAGGTTTTTGTAAAATTTAATGTATTAATATACACACATACGGGGCCGGTGATCACCGTCCGTGCCCCCGTCCCCATTAAAATCCCCAATCCCCGCCCCGTCCCCAATAAGTAGGGATGGTGATTTGGCCCGACCCGGTGGGGAACCCGGTTCACCCGACCCGGACGGGGACGGGGATTCCCCGCTAAAACGGGTACCGGGGCCGGGG